TTGTACTTGTTCCTTTTAGTTAGACCCATCCCCCCATTGACTCACCCCTTAGTTAAATGATCAAGAGGAAGGAGAACAATTTAGATCACAGTATTCTCCAGCTAGGGCCTTTGTATAGGCAATAAGGCAGATGCCTTGTAAAATCTGTAAACTGAACTTCACCCTCCTGACGGTACTCAGCCACTCCTTGCAGGATCTATTAAAACTTAGTTCACTTCTCTGTGTAGAAACAATTCAGAACAGATATCAGAAAAGTTCCTGAAATAACTCAAAGAAGTGTTATAACAAAATTAGCAAAGCACCTTAACCTTTGACTTAACTCTCACTTTAACAGCACCCAGTAGTCACTCCTGGTAATCCTGAAGGCTGGGAACTTCTGAGGGCAGGATCTGGAAACGGCCCAGATCAGAGCCTCTGCCTCAGAAGAAATTCTGTTTACAATGCTGGCAGCCCAGGCACTGAACAATGCCCATGACTGGCACCCTCATGTCCCACACTGGGGCCTTGTCCCCAGTGAGAGTTGGTCACTAGAGACAAGACAGTTTACACTGAAGTCTGAGGGGAGCTCTGGACTTCTAAAGTCCATGCTGACCTTTGAAACTGAGGATTGACGGGGCCCAAGATCCCAATGGCTCCCCTTGGACCTCTGAAAGTTCACTGGACAAACCTCAGGTAACCCCTAAAGTGACTAAGATTAATTTCTGTCTAAATCAGAGGTTAAGGTTGTTTCCAAAAGTACACTTACAAAAAATAAGAGAAAATAGCAGTAAACGGGTTGGCTCACCATGTGACGAGAGAAAATTACAAGACCTAGTCAGAGGGGAGACATCTCTATCAGCAACTAAAAGTTCTTGTAGCTGCCTCGGACTCTGTCCTCCTGTCCTCGCCCTCCTACACTCAAAAGGAGGAAAAAACGGCCCACAAACAGTGGTTACCAGAGCATCCAAAGGATGGTTGCCATTACCACATAGCAGGCTAATAGTCCCGTTGAGTGAGTCATCCTAGATCAGGTACACCGAATTACCCACCTGGGAAAAATCGACACTTGCTAAGCTGGTTAGGAGAAGAATACTTTGTGCCTAGTCTAGATAGCATTATTTATGGTGTTGTCTCAAAATGCGTTGCTCAGACATAGGTAAATCCTAAATCCTCAAGCAAGGCTCCCTTAGGAATCAAATCCCAGAGGGAAAAAAAACTGGGGAGACATTGGGAAAATCTTTGGTGTCTAATGGTTCAGTCTCTAAATGAAATGCGGCTAGCTAATGTAGGACTAGCCTGGTTTTACTTTTCTTCAGAGAAAAACACCTTAAATAGCCTTGTTTCCATAAATAACTTAAAACAATAGACAAAAATTAAGTAAATGTAAATTAAGTAAATGTTTGTAATTGAACTTGCCTGTTAAATTAAGATAATTTTTAACGTTAAACTTGTAAAGGTAAAAACAAAGAATAAAGAATAAAAGAAGGGTTATGGCTATAAAAATATATTTCTAGTGGAAAAGGTTTAAAGCATGTTGTTAAAGGTTTGAGTTATGTTACAAGAGTCTAAGAAAGCGTTGCAAAAATTAATCAAGTTAATGTTCTAAAGCTACTTGTACTAATATCTTTAAGTGTTATATACAGTAACAACTAAAAGAGAGCAGCCCCTCCAACTTGTCTAGATGGGGCCTCATATAGGTGTACTGGTTATTCCCACCACTGTTAAAGTGACCTTGTTGATCTGTCACACTGAACCCAGGAGGACTGCTTCCATGGACTCACCAGGGTGGGCCTTGGTCCATAAAAATAAGCCAGGAAGGTCTTTCCAGATATTACTTTAGAGACTAGAGAGCAACAGCCCTACTCTAGTCACTCCAGAGGCCAAGTCAGGCATTGTTAGGAATATGGCCCAGCAGCTCCACAACCAGATGGTCAGAAGAAGGACAAGCTGCTGCCGATTCAGGGGAAGGTTAGAGCGGCCTCTGGCAGTAGGCTTCTTGGCCCTTGCCCCTGTTAACTCTTCTATTAACTGTGCTTCTAATTTTGACTTTCGGCTCTAGTTTACTCAATTTTCTTATCTGGTTCATCTCCTACAGGATGAAAACCATTGAATATTAAATGCTAGTTACCTCTGTCTACAGCCCAAACATATCAGGCACTGTACCACCAGGGTGACTCCCAACAGATATTTGAGAAGATTCAAAAAGAGGGGGGAATGATATGGTTTCTGCTTTGCAAGAAATTTTATTATTTCCTAAGTACCTAACCAAATGCCACTCTGCTATCCGTAAACTGCTTGCACTGTCTCAGGAAGTGCTGTATCACCATCTCCCTGTAAGCAACAACCTAGTGGCTACAGATCATGAATATTAGCCCAAGCCAGTCCAACCAGACATTCCCTGGCGTGAGCAACTGTGCCCAGCAACTGGAGACCATGAATTCAGCCCGTCAGTTCCAACTGAACTCTAAATTCAGTGAAACTTCTTACCTGCCAAACACTATCACCCTGCCCTCTAGCTGATCCTGAGGAATCAATGATTCTATCCTCATAAAAAAGAAGTGCGGAGGGACCAGCAGGTGGCATGGTGGTTAAGTCGCTGGACACTCCCACATGGCCAACCATGGTTCGAGTCCTGAACCTGGTGGCTTGCTTTCTCACTTTCCCTCTCTCTCTCTCTGGCTAAATTAAAAAAAAAAAAAAAAAAAAAAAAAAAAAAAAAAAAAAAAAATAAAAAAAAAAATTTTTAAAAAAAAAAAAAAAAAGAATAAAATTAAATAAGTAATTCTTAAAAAAAAAAAAAAAAGTGGGGAATGAAGTAGACCTCCCTTTTTAATTCCTCTCTATCTTGGAAACTTGCTTTCGCCGTTGGCCTAGAGTAAACAGAGTGATTAATACTCCTACAGTCTTTGCTAAATAACTGGAAACTCCCTACTCTAAGATGTTCCTTAATCAGTCACCAGACCCCTTGCCCTGAGCCACGAACACCATTAGGATTCCATTGTGTTTAGGCAGACCTGGAACATACCCTTCAGAATGATTAACCTGCTTGTTTTGCCTCTATAATTCACTTTTGCTTTCACATTGGAAAACCCTACCCCCGACCTTTTCAAGCCCACTGCTCTTTGTTCTTGTGATTGCCAGGTCAACCCAGACAAGAGTGTGATTTTTGCCTCTATAAGCACCCCTCACCTTGCACTTGGTGCTGCGGAGTTTTGAGAGACGTGAGTCCCCCTGTATGCTGCTGGGTTAATCAATAAACTCCAATAAGTTTGAGTGTGTCTGGATGTCCTCTTATTTCTCTCCGAGTAGACTATAACACCACATATTAAAGATGGCTGTGGGCATGGAGGATAACTCCTACCTTACACATTTGAACACATCGTTCTGTTATCTCTTTAATTATAGCTTATTGTGGCATGCCTTACTTTTAGGAACATAATTTAGGTTTTTGAGGAAAGGATATGAAAATATTTTTGGCAGGGTCCTCCAATTAATCAAGGCATAAGAAATGTCTTCGGATTCTCTGTATCTTTCATAGCTCACACAGCTAGTGTCTGATGATGAAAACTTCCCACATATAGCATGTTCCAGAACAAACAGATCAGGAGATGCAGGCAAGCCTACAAAGAGAACAGGCATTAACTACAAACACAATTTTGTATTACAAGTATTTATGTGATTTGATTAGTACCTGGTTCTTTCTAGCAGGTTACAATTTTTTTTTTTTTGAGAGATTTTCGCTATAGGGCACGTGCACTCACCAGACAGAGAGAGACAGAGACAGAAAGCGAGAAATCACCCCCCAGTGGGGATGGTCACGCCACAATCCCTTCTCCTCCATTTTCCTCTCTGGATCTTGGACACACACGCACACGTGCCCGGCGTGAGTTTTAAGCCACCGGGTCCGGGACGTGAACCACGGTCGACTATGGGGGAGTCCAGTGACATAGCCATTACGCTAACTGCTGGTTCCCCCCACAGGTGAAATTTTGAGGATAGAGAAAACCTCAATGTTTTTCACGCTTATATTCTGGAATGGTCCCTCAAATATTTCTTCTCTCAAATAACTTACTGCTATAAATGAACAAAACACCTGAGAATAAATTGAAAGACTTGGCTGAACAAACAGGCCACAGGGCCCAACTTGGTTGAGACGGTCACTCGGAGTAAATGCCAGACAACTACTCCTAAAAGCACGTTATTCTCAGGACCAGCAGGTGGCGTAATGGTTTTATTGCTTAGACTCCCATGTAGTTGGCAGCAGTTTGAATCTCAGACCCGCTGGCTTAAAACTCATGCCTGAGTGTGCGTGCGTGCCCAAGATCCCGAGAGGAGAATGGATGTGGCATGGCCATGCCCCCCCCCCCACCACCAGGGGTGATTTCTCGCTTTCTGTTTCTCTGGGGAGTGCATGTACTCTATAGCAAAAAGCTTCTCTTAAAAGAAAAGAGGGGGAAAAAAAGAGTACGTTATCCTCCATGCCCACAGTTTAAAAGAGAAAAAAAAATAGGCAAGTGACAAAACCTAGACTGGGCTTGAACACAGAGTGATGCCCTCATTTCTGTCATCACTTACTCCATCCTGGCCTCCAGTTGCTGAACCAATTGTTTGTCCACATGGTGACAGAACAAGGGAAGCAGGTTGCTGGGGAAGGCTAAGGGTTCTGCCAGAGAGGCCGTAGGCATTTGAGCTATCTCCCAGGCGATCAGAACAACCATATCTGTCCTGGAGGGCACAAACATATAAATAAATGTATTAATGTAGGAAATTGAGACTTTAATTATCCTGTCACTACTGCTATCACTGTTCTCCACTCCCAGGTAGCAATGAAGAGGCAATGCTTGGGGACTAGCAGCTGCTGTAATGGTTATGTCACTGGACTCCCACGTGGACAAATGCAGTATGAGTCCTTGACCTGGTGGCTTAAAACTCACACTGGGTGCATGTGTATACATGCCCAAAATCCTGAGAGGAGAATGGAGGAGGGATTGTGGCACGGCCATTCCCATTTCTGTCATCACTTACTCCATCCTGGCCTCCAGTTGCTGAACCAATTGTTTGTCCACATGGTGACAGAACAAGGGAAGCAGGTTGCTGGGGAAGGCTAAGGGTTCTGCCAGAGAGGCCGTAGGCATTTGAGCTATCTCCCAGGCGATCAGAACAACCATATCTGTCCTGGAGGGCACAAACATATAAATAAATGTATTAATGTAGGAAATTGAGACTTTAATTATCCTGTCACTACTGCTATCACTGTTCTCCACTCCCAGGTAGCAATGAAGAGGCAATGCTTGGGGACTAGCAGCTGCTGTAATGGTTATGTCACTGGACTCCCACGTGGACAAATGCAGTATGAGTCCTTGACCTGGTGGCTTAAAACTCACACTGGGTGCATGTGTATACATGCCCAAAATCCTGAGAGGAGAATGGAGGAGGGATTGTGGCACGGCCATTCCCCCAGGGGGCGATTTCTCACTTTCTGTCTCTGTCTTTCTGTCTCTGATGAGTATGCACACCCTAAAGCGAAAATCTCTCTTTAAAAAATAGAGGCAATATTTGGATAGTGGTATGTCCCAGGCAATACTTAGTGCTTTATGTATCCACTTCCTATTTAATCTTAAGAACTCCTGGGACCAGCAGATGGCGTATTGGTTACATCGCTAGATTTCCATGTTGTCGACTGTGGTTTGAGTCCAAGACCCGATGGCTTAAAACTCACATTGGGCATATGTGTGTGCATGTGTGCCCAAGATCTTCAGAAGAGAATGGAGAAGGGATTGTGGTGTGGCCATCCCCCACCACCCCAGGAGGGGGGCGATGTCTCACTTTCTGTCTCTTTGCCTCTCTCTAGTGAGTGCACATGCCTATAGCAAAAATCTCTCAAAACACACACACACAAGCAAAACCTCCAAGGGTTAGTACTGTCATCTCTAGTTTATAGATGAGGAAACCAAAGAGAAGCAAATGATGCGCCCCAAAGTTAGACTGCTAGTGAATAGCAGAGCCAGAGTTCAAACAGGTCTATTTGACTTTAAAATTTGTCCCTTTGACCAGCAGATGGTGTAATGGCTATGTCACTGGACTCCAGGTAGTCGACCGCGGCCGCATCCCGGACCCGGTGGCTTAAAACTCACACTGGGCGCGTGTGTGTGTGCCCAAGATCCCGAGAGGAGAATGGAGGAGAAGGGATTGCGGTGTGGCCATCCCCCCCCCCGGGGGGGGGGGCGATTTCTTGCTTTCTGTCTGTCTCTCTCTCTGTCTTTCTGGTGAGCGCACGTGCCCTATAGCAAAAACCTCTCCAAAATGAAACAAAGCAAACACTTGTCCCCTTAATTACTGTGTAATACTGCTTCCAGGGGAAGCAGCGCCCTAGGACACTATAGGAAAAACAAGACAACTACATCTTTGCTACTTCATCTTTTTCTGCCCAACCTCTTCTCCAACATTTGAATATATCACTCAGGAAATATCTGTCTCAAGTTAAGCATCCCAGGAGTACTGAAATAGTACTTGCAGGGCCCTTAAGGTCTTACCAGGCTGTATGGTCACTGCTGGGTTCGTCACAGGAAGAATCCAAGGATACCAGCTGCTCCCCTTGACTCAGCAGGGCATAGAGCAAAGATATTCCAAACTGCAAGTGACATGTAGAGCCCAGGGCAAAGGGAGTTCACCCTAGGCGCTCAGTGATTCCCGTCTCTGGTATCTTCCCAGCTCACGGCAGGTTTACATTCAGATGGAGTCAATTCAAGGGCTGGCAGGTTTTACACTGGTGAGCCGATTCACTCAGACATTTCTGCTCTGAGCTTTCCAACAGACTCTTTGGGAGATTTGATTAAATGCACACTCCTAGGTGCTTCCCCCCCAGGAATGAGTTCATAGAGCAGAAATAGATCCAGCAATCTAATGCAGGTAGTTTGTGGATCCCACTTTAGGAAGTACTGCTTTAAGCAAAGATCTTTAGAGTGGGTTACGTAAGATAATTCACCGGGATACTGAAAGATATTAGAACTTTGGCATCTAAAATTTTCTATCTTGTTATTATGTACCTATACTCCACCCCCAGGTAGCAATTAAGAGGCAATGTTTGCTATAGTGGCATAGCCCAGGCAGTGCTTAGTGCTTTGCAAATCTTCCTTCCTATTTAATCTTAAGAATTTTACATTGGGTTTTCCTACAGCATTCCATGTATATAGTTTATAAACACATGTGGGTGGTATGGTTCAGAATTTCTTACTATAAGGGTACACTAAAGCCAGCCTCATACCCTAGTGGTTAAGAGAGTCAGACCCAGGGAACCGGCAGTTAGCGTAATGGCTATGTCACTGGACTCCCATGTAGTCGACCGTGGTTCGCGTCCTGGACCTGGTGGCTTAAAACTCACGCTGGGCGTGTGTGCCCAAGATCCCGAGAGGAGAATGGAGGAGAAGGGATTGCGGCATGACCATCCCCCCTGGGGGGTGACTTCTCGCTTTCTGTCTCTATGTCTCTGTCTGTCTGGCGAGCGCACGCACCCTATAGCGAAAAAACCTCTCAAAAAAAAAAAAGAGAGTCAGACCCAGGCAGACTGTAAGTTGAATCTTGGTCATGGGGACTTGTAAAAAGATCCAGGGCAAAAATACTGACAGGATGGGGAAACAAAGGAGAAGGGATTGCAATGTGACCACACCCCACGAGTGGGTGCTTTCTCCCTCTCTCTGGCATGCACACACACTCTCTGGCAATTAAAATAAAACAAAACAAGAAAACCAAAAAAAGGGCTACACAATAAAAAAACTTAGAGACCTCTACTGCAGAGGCTCGTACTGGCAGCAGCAGTGAGCTTGTTAGAAGTATTAGGTTGTCAGGAAAGTCATGACGCTTCTCTGAGCAAAAATGTGTCATGACTTTCCTGACAACCCAACAGATACATGGGACCCACTCCAGACCTTCTGAGTGATTCTGCAGGCGGGACCAAAGACCTGGTTTAATAAGCTCTCCAGGTGGTCCTGTGCTCACTAGAATCTGAGAAGCACTGCAGAGGATAAGAGAGAACATTCTCTCACTTATCCCTTACTAGTGATTCTACCCACAATCCACTGATGGAAAGAGAAAAGCCTCCCAGAGGTGTTACCTGATTCTGAAGCACCACAGTGACTGGCCGTTCTAAGGAGCCAGGGGGTAGCAGCGTTAGTCCCTGAAGTCCTTGGAGGAGTTCATGGAAGGTCAAGTGACCGATACATTTGCCCAGAGGTTTGAACAACATGTGGAGGGCCTGTAAGAATATTGGTAAGCAGCACCTCTCCCAAACTCCACTACAGCTGTACCTTCCCCTACCTTGGCACTAACCCTTTCCTTCGCTGTCCTGCCTGTGGCACCTTCTTGTCAGGTGACTACTTACCAGGCCCATCACCACTCGTGACTTCTCACCCCTACTACTGAGTCCTTCAATACTCAGTTGTTCTAGGATACCTTCCCTAAGAACCTATGCAGCTCATGGGGACTAGCAAGTGGCATGGTGGTTAAGATGCTGGATGCTCCCACATGGTGGACCACGGTTCACGTCCTGGACTTGGTGGCTTGTTTTCTCACTTTCTCTCTAACTCTGTGTGTGTGTGTGTGTGTGTGTGTGCGTGTGTGTGCGTGCATGTGTGTATCTCTGGTCAAATTAAAAATGAGTGCATGAATAAATAAAGTTAAATAAATAATTTAAAAAAAAGAATGTATGTGGCTCAATACTTAAGAAAGGGGCCTTATTTTTTCTTAAACCTCCATATGCAACCACAACCAAAACGACATCTTGTTGTTCAAAGTACTTAAAAATGATCTGTTGTTGTAGTAGTTTATTCTGCAACATCCTCACTTAAAGGTGATGGGCCAGTAACCCTCACTGCCCAGAACCTTCCCTGGCATTTCTAGGGGGCAGGAAATGAAGAAGAGGAAAAACCCCTAACCCATCCAGAGACCACCTTCTTCTCTACCCAGTGCCCCAGTACCTGGTCAGCCATATCCCTCCGAACCAGGAAGGGCAGATGGTGAGTGATGGCCAGAAGAAGGCTAACAGCCCGATCCTGGGGCAGGAAGGGGAGGAGTCTTGCCACCAAGGCTTTCCCCTTCCTCAAAGAGAGCACCTGGAGGAAGCCATCTGCTGTCTCCCTGCAAGGGAGGGAGGGGAATATTTTCAGAGCTTTGCATAGAAAAGAGGGCTACACGCTAAAAGGAGGGGCAGAAGCAAAGCCAACATCTTTGCTGACCCCCCCCACGTGTGTGTGTGTGTGTGTGTGTGTGCGTGTGTGTGCGTGCATGTGTGTATCTCTGGTCAAATTAAAAATGAGTGCATGAATAAATAAAGTTAAATAAATAATTTAAAAAAAAGAATGTATGTGGCTCAATACTTAAGAAAGGGGCCTTATTTTTTCTTAAACCTCCATATGCAACCACAACCAAAACGACATCTTGTTGTTCAAAGTACTTAAAAATGATCTGTTGTTGTAGTAGTTTATTCTGCAACATCCTCACTTAAAGGTGATGGGCCAGTAACCCTCACTGCCCAGAACCTTCCCTGGCATTTCTAGGGGGCAGGAAATGAAGAAGAGGAAAAACCCCTAACCCATCCAGAGACCACCTTCTTCTCTACCCAGTGCCCCAGTACCTGGTCAGCCATATCCCTCCGAACCAGGAAGGGCAGATGGTGAGTGATGGCCAGAAGAAGGCTAACAGCCCGATCCTGGGGCAGGAAGGGGAGGAGTCTTGCCACCAAGGCTTTCCCCTTCCTCAAAGAGAGCACCTGGAGGAAGCCATCTGCTGTCTCCCTGCAAGGGAGGGAGGGGAATATTTTCAGAGCTTTGCATAGAAAAGAGGGCTACACGCTAAAAGGAGGGGCAGAAGCAAAGCCAACATCTTTGCTGCCCCCCCCCACCCCCCCCACCCCCACACACTCACTCCAGGTTGTTCTGCTCCTGGGTCATTAAGGCCTGGAAGAGCTTTTCAACCTGGTAACTTTGCTGCTCAGAGGAGGAGGACTGTGGAGGCCCATCTTTCTTCTGGCCCTCCTCTATCTCTAGCAGCTGAAGGAACATCTGGGAATTTGAAGGTGGAAAAGAGGTAGACTTGAGCAATATCTCAAAGGTAAGTTAAGAACTCAACGCTAAGGAACTGGTATCTCACCTTCTCAATCCGATACAATACTTGAAGCCTCTTACTGTTTGTAGCTCCAATATCCTAGGGGGAAAAGAGTCCCTGACGACCAGGCACAGGTAGCATCCCAGGACTCAGACTAGCTCAAAACTGAGCAGGAAAGGCTAGACACCAGTCTGCTCACGTTGCTTCCTCACGCTTAGGCCACAGTCTGAACCCAGACATGAGAGCATTCTTACCTTTCTCCCAACCAGGGGAGAGAAAAAAGGTCCTGGCAAGACAGTGCTCTTACCTGCTCTTGAGTTCCATGGGGCACAGCATCAATAGCCCGGCGAGGGCTAAAACAGGTCGATATAGCTACTTGGCCCAGGGAACCTTCGATCCGAACCACTGCAAGAAAGGAGTCAGAAAAGGCATATTTCTCTTCCCTTTCAACCTTCTGTCCAGCCCAACCCAGTCAACCAGACCTGGTTCTACCTGACTCGTAAGCCTCTGCCTTCTGAATGTAAGGTGTTACCAACTTGAGGGACTCAAGTCTGTTCCTTTGTCCGAGTAACTCTTCATCTGCTTGCTTCTTCTCAAGCTTCTGATAATATTCCTGAAGACCCAAGAGACAGAAAAAAAAAACAAAAACAAAAACAAAAAAAAACAAGGGAGCAGCAGATGGTGTAATGGTTACATTGCTGGACTCCCACGTAGTTGACCCTGGTTTGAGTCCTGGACCCGGTGGCTTAAAACTCATACTGGGCACATGTGCATAGGTACCTATAATCCTGAGAGGAGAACAGAGGAGACGGGATTGCAGTGTGGCCATCCCCCTTGGGGTGATTTCTCACTTTCTGTTTCTCTGTCTCTCCTGTGAGTGCACGCACCCTGTAGCAAAAATCTAAAAGAAAACCAACAACAACAACATCCGAAATGCCCACACCAATTTTCTGAATTCAGAATTAAGGTACTCAAATGCACCCTCCTTTTTTTTTTTTTTTTTTTTTTTTTTTTGCCTTAGTGTGTATGCATTCTGGGAGGGAGACAGTGAGAGAGAAAGTGAGAAATCATCCCCAGGAGAGATGGCCAAACCACAATCCCTTCTTCATTCTCTTCTTGGGATTTTGGGCACACATGCACACATGTCTGGCATGAATCTCAAGCAGCTGAGTCCCAGGTGAACTGCAGCTGGCTATGTGGGAGTCCCAGGACATTAACCACCACACTACCTGCTGGCCCTTCAAAGGCAACCTCTTAATACCCCCTTTACTACAGCACTCATGTCAGAAATTAACCCGGCACCTTAGGCGCTCCTACAATTACTCTAAAGTGTCTTAGACACCCTGGGCCCCATATGCCCTGTCTTGGCATTTTCATACCAAGTACATCAAGAGCTAGAACCACTACGAGGACTGATGGCAGAGCAGAGAGTAAAGTGGCGAGACAGGGAACAAATCTGTTTCAGCATTCCTTCCTACATTTCTCATTTCTAAATACAAACTGGGTATCGCCTAGCTTTCTCCCTCACCATCTTAATTTTTTTTTTTTTTTGAGAGGTTTTCGCTATAGGGTGCGTGCGCTCCCCAGCCAGACACAGAGAGAGACATAGAGATAGAAAGTGAGAAATAACCCCCAGAGGGGATGGTCATGCCACAATCCCTTCTCCTTCATTCTCCTCTCAGGATCTTGGGCACGCACGCACACGCGCCCAGCGTGAGTTCTAAGCCACCAGGTCCGGGACGCGAACCGTGGTTGACTATGTGGGAGTCCAGCAACATAGCCATTATGCTAACTGCTGGTTCCCAACCATCTTAATTTTTTGATCTTACCTGTGCTTCCCAAAATCAGAGTTATCTGAGGGTACAAAGATCAACAGCTTTAAGTACAATACAAGCATTAGACATGTATCTGTCAATCAGCCTCTAGACCTATTTTACATTTCTGTGGATTTGCTCAGCAGCTCTGACATCTTCTGAAAACAAGCTGAGGAATCCTAAACTAAAATGAAGTCATTGACTTTGAGTAGAGCAAAGACTCGATTAAGGCTCTTTATTTAAGGACAATGCCAAAAAGGTGAGAGTACAAAACCATTTCACTTTCAGTGCTCCTAGCAAAAAGTGAGGAGGGTTTTAGAAGTTTGGTAGAAATGAAGAAACTGATGTAAATGGTAAGGGAATAAAGGTGGGGACCTTAGAAGAGGAGAAAGTGAAGTACAGCATAGACAACCCCCAAACCTGTGGACAAAGACTTCCCCATAAATAAAGAGGTAGGAGGAACCAGGGGAAAGGGTCAAAATATCTGCTGGTGAGACCAGCACTTGGCATAATGGCTATGTCGCTGGACTCCCATATAGTCGACCATGGTTTGAGCCCCAGACCTGGTGGCTTAAAACTCATGCCAGGCGCGTGTGCGTGTGTGCCCAAGATCCCAAGAGGAGAATGGAGGAGAAGGAATTGTGGCGTGTCCACCCCCCTGGAGGGGGGTGATTTCTCGCTTTTTGTCTCTGTCTTTCTGGCGAGTGTTCGCACCCTATAGAAAAAAACCTATCCAAAAAAAAAAAAAAATCTGTTGGCATTTGTTCTATTCAATTAATCAAATCCAGCTACTTATAAGACATTCCTGTTTTATGTATAGAAAGTAAAAGGTAAGTAGATGAATATAACAAGGCTTTTTAAAGTATTTTTTAAATTATTATTTTGCTTATTTTATTATTACTTTGTACTTGCTACAGAGAGCGTGAGAGTCCCCAAACGGGGATGGCCACACCACAATCCCTTCCCCAGTCTCTCAGGATTTGGGGAGCACACTCACATGTACCCCATGTGTTTTTCAAAGCTGGATCAAGGACTTAAACTGCCCGTTAGCCACGTGGGATTCAGCCACCATAACCACTTTGCCACCATCTATCCCCATAATAAGATATTTCTAAGACCTATGCAAGTGCACCAAGGTAGGAAATTTCATATTTCTGGTTGAACAGGGAAAATTCTCAACAAAAAAATAGAGTCAAAGCCTGAATGTTTGGGGAGAATTGTAAATACTACTACCTGGGGACCAGCAGATGGTATAATGGTTACATGGCTGGACTCCCACATAGTGGACCATGGTTCATGTCCCCCGACCTGGCAGCTTGAAACTCACACCAGGCACATGTGTGTGCATGCCCAAAATTCAGAGAGGAGAATGGAGGAGAAGGGATTGCAGTGTGGTCATCCCCCCAGGGACTGATCTGTCTCTGACTCTCTGGCGAGTACACATGTCCTATAGCAAAACAAACAAACACACACAAAACACCTCAAAAAACAGAAAAATCTCATCTGGCTGAAGTAGCGGAGAATAAAGAATGAGCTTGGGATGTTAACTTTAGAAATATAGCTTCTATCTTGCAGGGTCCTGTCTCCCATCTAAATGGACATGGCCTCTGAGCTGAAGAGAGGATCAGAGAAGCCCATTTGACCCAAGGTCAGAGGCTGGGATGAGCACTCTGGGGCTCACCTGGTAGTAATAGTCATCCAGGCGGGGGTTCTCACTCTGCAGCTGAACCATCTGCACTTTTATCACCCAGTCCTTCTCTTTTCGGGTCATGAGGTTAGCATAGGAGTCTGGCTGCTGAGACCAAGGCTTCTTGGCTAGGGAACTTTAAGCCAAGAGGAGCAACCCTTCAGACCTACCCACTCCTGCCACAGTGAATTTCCCAGGGAATGATGGGCAGGGAGTGACGTTCTCTGGGAAGGACAGGGGAGAGTGCAGACGTAGGCATCAGTGTAAGATTCTTAATTGTGCGGGGGCCTTGGTGGAGTTGCCTGGTCACGAAGGACTGCCCCGCATGCAGAAAGCTCCCCCTGACTCTACTGCTCTTCTTGACCTTACCTTGGGGTTCGACTGTGCTGCCGTTGCTGCAAGACCCGTTGGTGCCGAGGGTGGAGCTGAGTTAGATGACTAGAAAGACTTAAGAAGAAAGAGATTGGGTAGAAGTCTCTCAATTCACCATTCCCCCTATTTGTTGAGCCTCTGGTGAGCTTAGCTGGGCAGCTAAGGGGACCCTATCTGCTGGGCTGTTGGCATCATCATGACGTTTTCCTGTGCAAAAATGCTTCATGACTTTGCTGACAACTCAACATTTATGTGCCTGTGCCAAGTCAGCCACATGAAATGTCACAATCCTAGCCCAACAGGGCTCACATTCCCCGCCAACATATATTTTCCTGCAATTTGACTGCAGGAAATCTTGGCACAGTAGAAAGCCCTTTGGCCTGTTTGTCAGGAGTTCTGTGATGCTGACTTCAAACTTTTATTTATTTATTTATTTTTCTTTTAAAAGACAGGATCTCACTGTGTGGTGATCCTGCCCCAGCCTCCTGAGTTGCTGGGGTTACAGGTGTGTCCCACTGCACCTGGCCTTTAGGTTGGACCAGGAATGAACGCAGGCCCCCATATGGCCTCAGCCTGTGGAGCACGGCGTCTTAGCCACTGTGGCTGGGCCTCACATGGATATTTAATCTTCCTGGGATGCAAATTCCTCATCTGTGAGGGAGAAGAGATTGGACTATACCTCAAACCTGTTATTAAATTTCTGTAAATGTTTTTTTCTGTAGCATGTGGTAGAATAGTCTCTACCCCTCCTTAGCCACTAGCTCCTGAGGCCTGTAGGGAGGAACTCACCTTGTCCTGACCCTAGAGGATCCAGTTCCCCGAGCCAGTACCTGAACCTAGACAGCCATGAGGTCGGCAGGCTGCAGAAGAGAGAGGGGTCAGGCGAGGGCAGTCGAGGTCCAAAGTGCCGCGCTGAAGAGCTGTTTCTGGGAAACGTGATCTGGAAAGGGACGGGGGACCTGTACTCCAGTCTGGGAGAGGAATTAAGAGGACTAGGAGAGGAGCTTACAGCTTCCACTACGAGAAAGCTGCTCTTGCTGCTAAGCTCAGTTCCTTTCCCAACTCTCTATTCTCCCCATCTTTTTCCCATAAGAATACCCAACACTCTGCCATCTTGGGGGTCCCTCAAACCAGCTGTGAGGGCACCTGACTAGTTCCTGCCCTGTTTCTTTTCTTTTTCTTTTCTTTTTCTTTTTTTTTTTTTTGGAGGTTTTTGCTACAGGGTGCGTGCGCTCGCCAGACAGAGAGACAGAAAGCGAAAAA